CATGTAATTGTATGGTTTTGAATGAATTTCTTGTCTCCGTTTCCAATAGGATTGTGCTGTGGTTTGAGACACTGTTATGATTTCAGTTATTTTGCATTTGATGAGGAGTGTTTTACTTCTGATTATGTGATTGATTTTAGAGAATGTGATATGTGGCAATGAGAAGAATGTATATTCTATTGGTTTAGGTGGAGGATTCTGTAGATATATATATCAGGATCATTTGATCCAGTGTTGATGTCAGGTCCTGAATATCTTCATCAATTTTCTGTCTTGATGATCTGTCCCATATTGTCAGTGGGGTGTTGTAAAGTCTCCCACTATTATTGTGTGGGAATCTGTCTTGTTGAATGTCTCTAAGAACTTGCTTTATGGATTTGGGTGCTTCTGCATTGGATGAATATATATTTAAGATAGATCTTCTGTTGAATTGAACCCTTTACCATTATGTAATGCCTTCTTTATCTTTTTCATTTTTGTTGGTTTAAAGTCTGTATCATCAGAAAGTAGGATTGCAACCCCTGGTTTGGTTTTTTGTTGTTCCTGTTGTTGTTTTGTTTTGTTTTGCTTTTTTAATTTGTTGATTTTTCTCCATCAGTTAACTTTGAGCCTGTGTGTTATTGCACATGAGATGGATCTATTAAAGACAGCACACCAATAGGTCTTGGTTTCTTTATCCAGCTTTCCACTCTGTGTCTTTTAACTGGAGCATTTAGCCTGTTTACATTTAAGGTTAATATTGTTATGTGTGAATTTGATCCTGCCATTTTGATACTAGCTGGTTGTTTTGCCCATGAGTTGACGCAGTTTCTTCATTGTGTCAATGGTCTTTATAATTAGGTACATTTTTGCAGTGGCTGGCACTGGTTCTTCCTTTCCATGTTTAGTGCTTCTCTCAGGAGCTCGTGTAAGGCAGGCCTGGTGGTGATGAAATCTCTCAGCAGTTGCTTATCCATAAAGGATTTATTTCTTCTTCATTTATGAAGCTTATTTTGGCTGGATATGAAATTCTGGGTTGAAAGTTCTTTTCTTTAAGGATGTTGAATATTGGCCCCCACTCTTCTAACTTACAGGGTTTCTGCCAAGAGATCCGCTGTGAGTCTAATGGGCTTCCCTTTGTGGGTAACCTGATTTTTCTCTCTGGCTGCCCTTAGCATTTTTTCCCTTCATTTCAAACTTGGTGAACCTGGCAATTAAGTGCCTTGAGGTTGCTCTTCTTGAGGAATATCTTTGTGGTATTCTCTGTATTTTCTGGATTTGAATATTGGCCTGCCTTGCTAGGTTGGGGAAGTTCTTCTAGATAACATCATGAAGAGCGTTTTCCAGCTTGGATTCATCCTCCCCATCACATTTAGGTACACTGATCTAACATAGATTAGGTCTTTTCACATAATCCCATATTTCTTGGAGGATTTGTTCATTTCTTTTTCCCCTTTTTTCTCTAATCTTGCCTTCTCATTTTATTTCATTGAGCTGATCTTCAATCTCTGATATCCTTTCTTCTACTTGATTGATTCAGCTATTGAAACTTGTGCATGCTTTGTGAAGTTCTCATGCTGTGTTTTTCAGCTCCAATAAGTCATTTATGTTATTCTCTAAGCTGGTTATTCTAGTTAGCATTTTGTCTAACCTTTTTTCAAGGTATTTAAGTTTTTTTGCATTGCGTTAGAACGTGTTCCTTTAGCTCAGAGATTTGTTGTTACCTACCTTCTGAAGCCTGTTTCTGTCAATTTGTCATTCTCCATCCAGTTTTGTTCCCTTGCTGGTGAGGAGTTGTGATCCTTGGAGGAGGAGAAGGGTTCTGTTTTTTTGTGATTTCCTTTTTGCACTGGTTTCTTCCCATCTTCATGGATTTATCTACCTTTGATCTTTGAAGTTAGTGACTTTCGGATGGGGTCACTGTGTGAATGTGCTTTCTGTTGATGTTGAAGATATTTCTTTCTGTATTTCAGTTTTCTTTCTATCAGTCAAGTCCCTCTGCTGCAGGACTGCTGGAGGTCCACTCCAGATCCTGCTTGCCTTGGAATCACCTGCAGGGGTTGCAGAACAGCAAGGATTGCTGCCTGTCCTTTCCTCTGGTAGCTTCACCCCAGAAGGGTACCCATTAGATGTCAGCCAGAGCTCTCCTGTATGAGGTGTCTTCTTGGATATACGGGGGTCAGGGAGCCGCTTGAGGAGACAGACTGTCCCTTATCAGAGCTCAAGTGCTGTGCTGGAACCTCCATTGCTCCCTTTAGAGCTGCTGGGCAGGGACACTTAAGTCTGATGCAACAAAACTCACAACCACCCTTGTTCCCAGTTGCTCTGTTCCAGGAAGGTGTGACTTTATTTACAAGTCCCTGATGGGCTGCTGCCTTTTTTCAGAGATGCCCTGCCCAGCAATGAGGGAGTCTAGTCACAGTCTGTCTGCAGAGGCTTTTCTGAGCTGCGTGGGCTCCATACAGCTGCTGTGTAAATCTCTTTGTAATTTTGTTTACACAGGTAAGATTAGAACTGCTTCAGCAATGGTGGACAACCTTCCCCCCCACCAAGCTTGACCATCCCACGCCAAGCTCAGACTGCTGTGCTGGCTGCTAAAAATCTCAATTCAGAGGGTCTCAGTTTGCTGGGTTTTATGGGGTTGGGACTGACCTGCCAAGCCAGCTCACTTGGCTCCCTGCCTTCAGCTCCCCTTTTTTCAGGGGAATGGGCAGCTCTGTCTTGCAGGCATTCCAGGCACCAGCCAAAATGGCCACTCAGATTTGTGCTGAAAACCTGTGGTGCTTGTTATCTCAGTGGGAATCTCCTGGTCTGTGGGCTGTAAAGACCGTGGTAGAAGCACAGCATCTGAACCAGAGTGCTGGAGTGGCTCGAAAAGTCCCCAATGGCCTCTGTGGGGTAGGAGTAGGGGGTCTTCTGGTCTGTTGCACTTCCCAGGTGAGGCAGTGCCCTATCCTGCCTCGGTTTGTCCTCCTTGGGCTACACTCAATGTCCAACCAGTCCCATTGAGATGAACCTGGTAGCTCAGCTGGAAATGCAGAGATCATTCGCCTTCTCTGTCGCTCTCACTGGGAACTGTGCTCCAGAACTGTTCCTATTCAGCCATGTTGGCAGAAGTCTCTTCAGTGTGTTTTTGTAATGGCTGGTGATGGTCTTTCCTTTCCGTATTTAGTGCTTCAGGAGCTCTTGTAAGGCAGGTTTGGTGGTAATGAATTCCCTCAGTATTTGCCTGTCTGAAGAGAGATCTTATTTCTCCTTTACTTCTGAAGTTTAGTTTGGCCAAATATGAAATTCTGTGTTAGAATTTCTTCTATTTAAGAATCTTAATTATTGGTCCCCAATCTCTTTTTCCTTGTAGGAGCTTCAGCTGAGAGGCCCACTGTTACTCTGATGGGCTTCTTTTTGTAGGTAACCTGGCCTTTCTCTCTAGCTGCATTTAACATTTTTCCTATTATTTCAACCTTGGAGAACCAGATTATTATGGGTCTTGAGGATGATATTCTTGTGAAGTATCTTACTGGAACTCTCTGCATTTCCTGAATTTGAATGTTGGCCTCTCTAGCTGAGTTGGGAAACTTCTTATGGAAGATATCTTGAAATATGATTTCCAAGTTCGTTCCATTCTCCCAATCTCATTCAGATACATCAATTAGTTGTAGATTCAGTCTCCTGTTGTTTTTTATTCTTTTTTCTATATTCTTATCTAACTGTCTTATTTCAGAAAAGCAGTCTGCAAGCTCTGACATTCTTTCTTCTGCTTATTCTGTTTGTAATACTTGTGATTGCACTATGAGATTCTTGTAGTATGTTTTTCAGCTCTATCAGGTCAGTTACATTGTACTCTATACTGGCTATTTTTTCTGTCAGCTCCTTCATTCCTATTCATATTCTGAATTCTGCTTCTGTCATGTCAGCCATCACTACTGAGTTTTTATTTTCTAAACCAATAACCCATGAGACGGAACATAGCAATGAATCATTGCCTGGTAGTTATTCATGTTTGTGGCCATCCTTGCCTCAACAAGTATTGTGGAAACAGAAATATTACAAAAATATCTTTCCCAATAGAAGAAAATGTTTGAGTAGATATCCTTAATTGTGATCTATGTTTACATGTACACCCCTAGAGAGAAATTTGTGATGAAGTTTCAGATGGTTTTCATTGTTGCAGGTGACATTGATGACAGGAAGGGACAGCAAATTTACTTCTATACATTTCTAAGAAATACATGGTTGCTCCAGTTAAAAACATAAAGGCAAAATGAACAATTTACATCTTTTCTTGTGCTCTCTCTTCCTTCTATTTACTTTACAAACCCTAATGTATGGTTAACTATACCCCTTCCCTTAACAAGACCAGCTCAGTGGAGGAGGCCTATTTGGTCTTTAGCTAAGAGAGATAATTACAGATTTAATACACAGAGAAAGTTCAGATAGATAAAAAGATAAGTGTACTCCCTGTCAGGCTCATCCATTAGTTCATCTTATCTCTGTAACAACCATACATGGTAACATTGTTCCATTTACATAGATGAGCAAACTGAGGAAGATTTAGGTAAGTGACTTGTTAATATATCCAGTTTTGATCATAGGTGGTATGACCAGAAATGAGTCTAGTCTCTATGAGGCCTCAAGCATACATCAATTATTTCAGGGTCTTTAGGAAAAAGAACACATTATAAATAAACACTTGTTATTCCCTTACTAGGACCTTGTCAGGCAGCTGTACAAGTGATGGTTCCTTATGCTTCAGCATCAGGAGCTCCAAGATAAATTTGCTGAATAAGAGGGATGTCAATATGACTCCAAGTGTTTGTTCCCACCAGTGAATGTGTAGTGCATAGAGGGTCATCCTTACATTTTCCTGGTGATGGCACAAGAGAATGTGAGCTTTTATGTCCTGGAATAACCAAACAAGAGGTGGATACTAACTTGGAGAGAAAGGCATCTCAAAATGAATGTTATGTGAAAAAAATGAGTAAGTAGTTGTTGGCTGCATCTCTGTACTCTTGTTTGCTCAGGTGGCTGGCAGAGTCTGCTCGGTGGCTCATTATTAACAACAAACCAGAGGAAGGCTTAAAGGAGCTTAGAAAAATTGCACACAGGAATGGAATCAAGAATGCTGAAGGCATCCTAACCATGGAGGTAAGTAGGGTGAGAGCTAGATATGGGATGTTGGAAAGATACAACTTGTCATTTATACTTGTCGGTGTTCATAAGGTGAATAAGGGAGAGAAACACAAACATAGTTATGGGTTGTCTCACCTCACTATCATTCTCAATGGGTGTCAACATTGGGTTAACATCTTGAAAGAGGATATGCTGCTGCTGAAAGGATGGGACACAGATATTTGACTCAACAGAGACAGAGGCACAGAGTATTAACAATACAAATTTTGCGTTGGACTGCCTCTAACCCTGTAATAGAAAGTAACCTAAACTAGTTCATTCATTCCCAGTTATTATTCTGTTACCTTCTTTCAGGGTAGTAAGGACAGAGAAAGGAAGTGTTAGTGGGCTAACAGAAGAGAGCATAAGGAGGTTCACTTATTTGTTCACTCTGTCATACATTCTTCCATTCAAGATCTATTTAGTGAGTGCCTACCTATTCCAGATTCCATTCTTTCTTGGAAATATGACAGTGCCAACACCAGTCCAAATCTATATTGTGTGGAGTTTCTTCTACTTACTATAAGTTTGTAAAGCATGACTATGTGAAAATGCCTGGGAGAAGTCTTTCTCTTTTTTCCACCCCAGGGATTGAAGACAAATACTGCTGTCGATTATTAAGTCATGCTCCATGTCATGAACATATTTAAAGTATTTGTGGAAAAAATATGGTATACCACAAATGGTATTAGATCATGAATGACAGAGTAAATCATGGTCACAGCCTGAATGGAGCTTTTACTTTAATATGAAAGAGGAGAGCTAACGGACATATTTAAATCTAAGTGTTGGAAACTACAAAGGTATAGAAAGAATGTTAATGAAGACAAGAAAAATACATTTTACTTTATTTGACTGAAACAGGAGAGGACTAGGAGCCAGTCAATCATAGAGAAAGAATAAAACATCTCTTAAGACATGGTCAGTGATGTATCTAATGGAACTTAGTCCCAGAAGAAAGCAGAGGTCTTTTGGAAGGAGATTTCAAATAAGAAGCCTGAAAATGCTCTTGCAAGTTAATGTTCAACTGGCGATGTCAGGAAAAAATAAATATTTCTCCCAAGATCAATCCATTACAGAGATAATATCACAGGGCACCCCAATATAATGGTGCAAATATTCGCATAGCTTTTTTAAGAAAAGGAAGTGAAGTTAGATGAAACTGAATGTCATTTCTAGATTGCATATATATATACATATATATATATATATATATATATATATATATATATATATATATCATAGTAATTCTTTTGGGTCAACTAAATTCTCAGGTACTATCTGTGGTTTTACACACACACCTAGCATGTGACCTACAAGGTTGGCCCAATATAGAGAATGAAAGCTACTCTTACAGAAGTTCAGGGAGACTAAAAAAACAACAACAACAACAGCTAAGTGTTGTGAAAAACAGTGGAATCAAAAAAATAACAATGCATTATCAAAGTGAATGGCAACTGATTGTTCCAGAAGAAGGAGAGTGTTCCTCAAAAGGAGAAATTAAAATTTGATTTAGGAAGTAGATTCTATGCATTAATGGGTACCTAATGTTGTGTTAACTTGATTTTTTTTTTATTTTGTAAATATTATCCATATATGTGTGGTCTTATTCCTGTTTAAACATTCATCTGACAGACTGCCTAACAAAACTGCTCTTGGCAACACTTCTAGCCTAATGCCAATCCACTTTACACCAATATCGATCCATTGATCAGTCTAGTTTTAGGGGTCAAGGAGCCCAATACATAACATTCATCTCCTATGCCCAAATCACACATAACTGAGAGTTAAAGGGTTCAGAAACATGATCAAAAATTTTAGCCTTGATAATACTGTGAAAACTGGAATAGAAGACATGACTTTACATACCTACCCTCAACAGGATTTCTAACACTTCATCCCAGAATTAACCTCATTCAACAGTCACATGTTTTCCCACAGGTGCAGAGCCTAACCTGACAAATATAGGATGTTGTCCAGAAGGCAGATTTGAATGCAATCTCTTTTTAAAGGTGTTCTGAACACTACAGCATGCCCATTTCATTCTCTTACACTCACCAACAATTGCATAGTCTTCCAAGGGCAGCTGAGTGGTATGTAGAGAGGAGCCAAGATCATCCCTGTTGAAACTTGTCCTTCATGGAAGCCTAAGGGTTAGGAAGAAAGTACCCCACTCCTAAACCTCCAGTATTTCTGAGACAAGAAGTGAATTAAATTCTCTCAGGAAATTTATCTCCTTCCTGAGACAGACAAACTGTTTTTCACCAAGAGCAGTTCAGCTGAGAACAGCTGAGCTGAGAACCAGGTCTTTGGGGCCCATCTGGTATAAATGGAGCTTGGGACTATAATCCAAGTAACTCTTCAATTTTTTCCTCATCATGATCTGAATCTTCAACCTACATATCCTTTTCAATGCTCTGCAGCCAATTAAATCTCTTGTCTAAAATAGCCTTGATAAATAATTTCCCTGAGGCTTAACACTCTAATCCAACTTTCATATCATTTTAAATTTGCCAATGCAATTTTAAGGTATGTATTTTCTGCTAGATAGAAAGGTGTGTCACCTATCATGTCATCTGTTGGCTCTTACAATGCCTACCATTTTGTGACAACTGAACAATTTGTTGCTTCTGTTGTTGTTGAAGGTTTTGAGATCCGCCATGAAGCACGAACTAGAGGATGCACAGAAAAAATATTCTCTTGGTGAATTGCTCCGCATGCCCAATATATGTAAAAGAATCTGTATCCTGTCCTTTGGGAGGTAAGCTTCATGCAGTATGTGAGGAATGTTAAAATAGAGGAGATATAAATCCATGTCTTATTTTAAGTGGTAAAACATGTTGAAGAAAAAGATTTTGGGGATAAAATATGATAAATCCATAAAGAAAACTGCTACTTTTAAAGGTGTTAAAAAGGGTTGTGAAAAGACTGACACAAAATTAATTGTACAATGATTTCTGTTTATAACATCATTCTACAAAGCTAATCGCTGGAGACTTATGCTGAGAACTTCAATTATGGTATAGGTTTGGGCTCAAAGTTTCTTCATTTGTTTTCACTTTAATTTATGTAAATTGTAAACAGCAAATTATAAGAATGTATACAGATCAATGAATATTTCCATTTATTAATATCTAGCCACCACTCAGATCAAAGTACAGAAAAAACTCTAAAATACTAGGAGATGATCACATGTTTAGCAGGATGACATAATAGAAAATTCTACCCCTTAATCCCACACAGAAACACTGATTTACCAATGACTGTACAAAAATACTTCCATGGGAATTCTAAAATTGAGGTAAGACATTGTAATGCCCAGGAGCATGAAACCAAAAACAGTTGCATTGAAATGGGCAAGAAGAGTAATGTCAGTTAATACATGACAGACCTTTCCCAAAGTTGTTACAGCTCGTGCCAAGAGAGGACACCCTGGTCTATGACTTTTCCCTCAGAGGGAAGGAGAGAGTAGAGCATTCATCCATACCTTGGCCTTTGGACACACTGCATGAGGAACTGGTGTCTGTCTCCCCTCACCCAGAGCACTGATGGAACTGGCATATTTGGATGCCTGGGGTCACTGGGGACAAAGTGAGTACAAAAGCTGTGACTTATACAGCTCAGTGTAATGAAAAGAAGATACACAACTTGAGATTTCTCCCTCTGGAGGAAAAGGAGTTCCGTATATGTCTGATACACTGATTTTCCAGGGAGATGCCCAAGAAATTAGTTTCTTTCTTGCCCAACCATTATGCCAGTAGGACCCCACACACTCTACATGTCTCAGAACTACTGAGAACAAAGAATATCTGGATGTCAAGCTGATGCATCAGAGGACTCATGGTATGGCAGACAGAAAGCAAGAGATTACCAGTTCCTGAAAATCAGAAACCAGGAAATCCCGCTAATTAGGAATCTACACACACAAATACAGAGAAGATACTTTCACAGAGTAGACTTGACAGATCCCCAGAATCTCTGTCTGGGCTGATTGTAAAAGCCAGTCTGGTAAGACAGTAAGAGGTGGCTATTTCTTCAAATGTATAGATACCAATTCAAAGCTACAAAGAACATGAAGAAACAGAAAAGTATGACACAAAAGGGAACAAAATAAATCTTTAGAAACTGATCATAAGAAAATGGAAGTATATAGACCGGACACAGTGGTTCATGCCAGTAATCCCAGCACTTTTGGAGGCCACAGAAGGCAGGTCAGGAGTTCGAGACAAGCCTAGTCAAACATGGTGAAACCCCATCTCTACTAGAAATATAAAAATTAGCCAGTCATCATGGCACTCACCTGTAATCCCAGCTACTCAGGAGGCTGAAGCACCAGAATTGCTTCAACCTGGGAAGTGGAGGTTGCAGTGAGTCAAGATCGCACCACTGCACTCCAGCCTGGGTGACAGAGCAAGACTCTGTCTCAAAAAAAAAAAAATGAATTACAGACTTAAATGTAAAATCTGAAACTATGAAAATACTAGAAAAAGCATTGAGGAAATGCTTTAGGACACTGATATGAGCAAAATTTTCTTGAGTAAAAACTCAAAAGCACAGGCAAACAAAGCCAAAAAATGACAAATGGAATTACATCAAGCTAAAAAGCTTCTGCACAGCAAAGCAAAACAATCAACAAAGTGGAGAGACAACCTACAGTATAGAAAAAGACTTGCAAACTATTCAATTGGGATTAAAAAATCAAACCTATAAGGAATATAAACAACTCAGTAGCAAACAAATAACTTCATTTTTAAATGGGCACAATACCTAAATAGACATTTCTTAAAAGAAGACATACAAATGGCCAACAAGTATTAAAAATGCCCTATATCACTAATCACCAAAAAAATACAAATCAAAACACAATAAGATAGTATCTCACCCCACTTAAAATATTATCAAAAAGACAAAACAATAACAAACGCTGGTGAAGATGCAGAGAGAAGGGGATGTTTGTACAGTGTTGATGAAAATATAAATTAGTGCATCCACTATGCAAAACAGTATAACATTTTGTCAACATATTAAAAATGGAAATACCATATTATCCAGCAGTCTCAGTGTTGGGTATATGTGCAAAGGTAGAAAATCAGCATATTGAACACATAGCTGCATTTCTATGTTCATTGCAGCACTATTCCCAATAGCCAAAATATGATATCAACCTATATGTTTATCAATGGCTGTATTTTTTTGGCAAGTCGTGGTGGCTTACACCTGTAACCCCAGAACTTTGGGAGGCCAGGGTGGATGGATTGCTTGAGTCCAGAAGTTCAGACCAGCCTGAGCAACATGACAAAACCCTGTCTCTACAAAAAGGTACAAAACATTAGCCAGGCATGGTATAGCCCCAGTTACTCTGGAGGCTGTGATGGAAGGACAGCTTGAGCCTAGGGAAATGAAGTGTCACTTTTGAATTAGAGTGTCACTTTTAAGACAGAATGAGACCCTGTCAAAAACAAAAAAGAAAGAAAGAAAAGAAAATGGGATACACACACATACACACACACACACACACACACACACACACACTCACAATGGAATATTATTCAGCCATAAAAATAATACATTCCCATCATTTACAGCAACATAAAAGGAATTGGAAGAAATTACTTTAAGTAAAGTGATCCAGGCACCAAAAGGCAAATATTGCATGTTCTCACTCATATGTGAGAGCTAAAAAATTTATCTCCAGGTGGTAATAAGTGGAATAGTGACTACCAGAAGCTGGGAACGGTACTGGGGAGAGAGTATTAAGAGGGATGGGATAATGGATACAAAAACACAGTTAGATAGAAAAAATAAGATCTAGTTTTCAGTAGCACAGTAGTTAGAGTTGACTATAGTTAACAACAAAGTTCTTTTATATTTCAAAATAGCCAGAAGAAATATTTAAAATGTTCTCAACACACACACACACACACACACACACATAAAATCATAAACTGTGAAATAATGGATACCCCAATTACCCAGGTTTTATCATTCCATACTGCATGGTTATATCAAAAGATCACAGTGCCCCATAAATACGTATAACTATCACATATCCATAAACATTAAAAAAAATTTAAATACATCTAAACATTTTATAATAAAATCATCAAAAGAAAAGAAAGAATTTGGAAAGCAGCAAGAGAAGTGACTTGTCCTGTACTAAGAGAACCTCCATAAGACTTTTGGTTTGTTTTCCTACAGGAAGTTTACAGGCCAGCAGAAAGTATAATGATATATTAAGAGATGAAAACTGCCAACAAAAAGCACTATATCCAGCAAACTGACCTTCAGAAATGAAGGGAAATAAAGATTTTCCCAGACAAACAAAAACTGAGTGAGTTTGTCAACACTAGATTTGCATTATAAGAAATGCTAAACAGAACGTTTCATGTTTAAACAAAGCATCTGAAAGAGCAACATGAGAGCATATTAAAGTATTAACCTACTAGTAAATGCAACTAGAAGTCCAGAGCTAACATCGTACTTAATGAATAACTGAAAGGTCTTCCTTTAAGATCAAGAATACGAACCACTACTTCTATTGAATATAGTACTTAAAGTCCTAACCAGAGCAGTTAAGGAAGAAAAAGAGATTAGAAGCATTGAAATAGGAAAGGAAGAAGTAAATTCAGCTCTACTCACAGATTATATGATCTTATAAGTAAAAATCCTAAAGATTACACACAAACATTAGAATAAACAAATTTAATCAAAAAATACACACGTTAAAAATAGTTGTGATTTTATACACTAACAACAAACTATCCAAAAACAAAATTAAAAAGTGATCTCATTTATAACACCATAAAAAATATATAATGCTTAGGAATAACTTAAAAGGAGGCAAAAGATTTGTACACTGAAAACTACAAAACATTGATGAAATAAAGAAAACAAAGATAAATGAAAAGATATATGCATGAATTACAAAACTTAATATTACTAGATGTTCACACTACTCTGGAGACAACAGATGCTGGAGAGGGTGTGGAGAAATAGGAACACGTTTACACTGTTGGTGGGAGTGTAAATTAGTTCAACCATTGTGGAAGACAGTGTGGCGATTGCTCAAGGACCTAGAAATAGAAATTCCATTTCACCCAGCAATCCCATTACTGGGTATATATCCAAAGGATTATAAATGATTCTATTATAAAGACACATGCATATGTATGTTCATTTTGGCACTATTTACAATAGCAATGACCTGGAACCAACACAAATGCCCATTGATGATAGACTGGACAAGAAAATGTGGCACATATACACCATGGAATACAATGCAGCCATAAAAAATGATGAGTTCATGTTCTTTGTAAGGACATAGATGAATCTGGAAACCATCATTCTCAGCAAACTGACACAAGAACAGAAAACCAAATACCACACATTCTTGCTCATAGGTGGGTGTTGAACAATGAGAACACATGGACACAGGGAGGGGAGTATCACATACTGCGGTCTGTTGGAGAGGGCTGAGGGAGGGACAGCATGGGGCGGAGGTTGGGAGAGATAACATGGGGAGAAATGCCAGATATAGGTGATGGGGGGATGGAGGCAGCAAACCACCTTGCCATGTATGTTCCTATGCAACAATCCTGCATGATCTGCACATGTACCCCAGAACCTATAGTACAATTTTTTTAAAAAAGAAGACATATATGAGGCCAACATATGAAAAAATACTCATCATCACTGGTCATTAGAGAAATGCAAATCAAAACTACATTGAGATACCATCTCATGCCAGTTAGAATGGCAATC